CCCCCTCTTTGCTCGCTGTCAGGCGACGGCGCTGGGCGAGGACATCGGGGACATGGCTGGCGACGCGCTGGTCGCCGCGGAGCAGACTCGGCAGCTTTACGCAGGGCAGCTCGACGAGCGCGGGGCAGCAGCAGCCCAGGACAGCACGCACAGAAACCGCAGGATATGAGGCATGACAGGGACGAGGGGGATGAGGAGGAGGCAGGCAATGAGGACGAGCAGCGAAAAGAGGAAGAGGCTGGGGGAGAGGAGGAGGATCGAGGAGGAGGAGGACGAGGAGGAGGAACTGGGATGAGGCGGAAGAGGATGACGAAGAGGAAGAGGGTGAGGAGGAGGATGAGGAGGAGAAAGACAGGGCGGCTGGGGGGGGGGTGCGAGGGAGGAGGAGGAGGAGGAGGAGGATGAGGAGGAGGACGAGGAGGAGGAGGAGGAGGAGGAGGAGGAGGACAACGAAGATGAGGAGGAGGAGGGCGACGACGACATCCTGAGACTGCAAGGGGGGGGGGGGCATTTCACGCATACGGCCCCGCATCAGCCGAGGACTCTGGCGGCATGGAGAAGGTGCTCGTGGATGCCTTTGCGAAGATGTGCCAGCGCGACGGGCAAGCACAGCATGACGATGATGACCCTGAGGATGACGAGAGCGGGCTGACGCCAACTGGCGCTCAGGCCCACGCGGAGCTCGAGCAGACGTACGACGAGTTCTTGGAGGAGGCGGCGAAATACGGCTTCAAGAAGATCCTCTCGCAGGACCCGATAGGACGGAGATACAGCCGCTGGATCAACAGCAACACCGAGCGCTGGGAGAAGTGGACCGCGATGGACGCGCAGCAGCGCAAGCTAGACCGCGAGAAGTGGGCCTCCGAGCAATACGAATCTTACCAGGAGCCAGCTGGCATACCGAAACGCATCGCCCGTGGGCTGGAGGGGATGAGGATGATTTGGGGGAGGGGGAGGAAGAAGAAGAGGAGGAGGAGGAGGAGGAGGAGGACGCGGTGGACAATGAGGAGGGGGACGAGGAGGAGGAGGAGGAAAATGAAGAGGAGGAGGAAGAAGAGGAGGAAGAGGTGAGGGAGAGGAAACGGAGGATGGCAATATCGGGGGGAGGGCGGACATGTGGAGGATGGTGGTACTGCAAACGATCGCAACCACAGGAGTCGAGGTCGAAGCTCGAGGAGACCGTCCGCGCGGAGTCCACCATCGCGAGGTGGTACAACTTCGACGGGATAGTTGGACAGGAGATGGGCGGCGCGGGTGGCATCCCAACCAAGGCGACGCTATACGGCGCCATGAACATATGCTTGGACTGCATCGCGCGGGGTCCCAAGCACGTCAAGATCAGCAAGAAGTCGAAGCGCATGATCTTCCGCTACGAGATCGAGGAGGAGAGGCGCGACAAGAGGATGACCTGGCAGAAGGTGCGCACGGAACGCAACCCTGAGAAGGACGGGAGTGCCAACCCGATCGCCAGTAGCGCTGCTTCATCGAGTGCTGCACCGATCGCACCGAGCCCGATTGCTACGCCAGACAAGAGCGCGCCACCCCCGAGGCCTGCAGCAGCGGTGCCACCTGCACCAATGGCGTGTGACGCCACGCAGCCACTGCCGAAGCAGCCACCGATCGCGGCTTCACCGAAAGTGGCTAGCCCTCCTATCGTGAAGAGCAAGGGCGGCAAGCCGATCGCGTCGCCAGTCGCGAAGGGCAATGTCAAGGCTGGCAGTAAGGCCAAGGGTAAGGCCAAGGCTGGCAAGGCAACTCCGCCGACAATGGCCACTGTATCCAAGAAGGTCGCCGAGGTCACCAAGCAGTGGGGCGCTGTGATGCTGCAGTCCACCAACTTGTCGAACAAGATCGAGACCGAGTCGGGATGGTCGTGGGCCAACACAGACAGGTTCGGTGGCAAGCTGAAGCGCAGCATCGAGCGGTGCAACGAGACGCTTCAGGCCGACGCGACGCTCACCGCCGCCATCATGGATGGCGAGCAGCTCCCCGAGGACGTGGACATCAACGGCACGCTGAGCCGCATCGCGGCCGTCAGCACCGCGCTGGACGTGGTCAACCAGTGCGCCAAGCGCTTGCGCACGCTCGACGACGAGGACCAGCCGAGCCAGTAGATAGCGTTGCGCTCAGCATGCATAGGCAATCCTCCTCCGCACATTCCCACGCCATCCATATCCTTGTCCTCGCCCATCCTCGTCCACGCCATCCTCATCTCCCGTCTCCGTTGACCCTGCCAGTATTCATCCTCCTCTTCCTCATGTATCCTCGTCCTTCTCACCACTCCTCGATCCAGACGTCTGCTAGTGATATCGCACGTTGCCTACTGCTGCTGTTTTTTTTTGGATGTCGGCTTGCTGCGCGGTGCGACCCCGTGGTTGAGAGCATGAGATTGGGTCACGCGCGTCGGCCGAACTCGGCTTGAACTGGCGCCATGTGTGCTGAAATGTGCTCACGCTCTCGACGGCAATCGGTCGCATCCCCGCGGTTCCGTTTACAGCGCCGACATGCGCGCTATGTTTTGAGCGCGAGGGGCGAGTGTGACCTGGCAATGCGTTGCTCAGGCATGCAATGAACGCATCGTGTGCTGAGGCCAGGCTACCATCCCTACCCTTCAACCTCATCAAATTCCTAGCCCTCCTCGTCCTCCTCCTCACCCTCCTCCTCTTCGCTCCCTCCCCTCCCTATCCTCCACCCCCTCTTCACCATTCGAGCCTCCTCCATGCTTCCTCCTCCTCGCACTCATGTACTTGCCTCGTCTCGTTGCACTCGTTTGCCTGGTGTTGCTGATCGTGGGGCGTCGGCATGCCGCCTAGTGTACTGGCGCGTCGGTCACGCACGATTTCGAAACGCTTCTCCGTGGGATTTCCCGTGGGATTTCTGAGACACACGCTGGTACCGAACCTCCGTGGAACCGTGTGTGCACCTGAAACGGCATTCAGGCCAGCAAAACTATACGTGCGTACCGTCCCGAAGTGCACAGGACCGATAGTTGTGGCTGTTTCAAAGCCGACCGACCCGCCAACGCATTCGCGGGGCGCGATTATACGCTGGCAGGTCCGACGAGTCTTCTTCTGCGCGCTGTTCGAGCATGAAACACCCGACTGGTTGGCGGTGCGCATGCTTCTCACCCCCCAACTTAAGCATCACCAGCTCATCATGATACGATGTGTTGCCCAACTGCTTGACGAAAATGCTGCGGGTATATAGCGGTAAGTTTTCGGGTAGCTTTCGGGTAGGTTGCGGTAAGGTCGCGGGTAGGTTTGCATTTTGTGGCACCCCTATCACACTTTCTGCCCCCCAGGGGCCGGGTAGATACCGGGTAGTTTCCGGGTAGGTTCCGGGTAGGTTGCGGTAAGGTCAGGTGTAGCTCAAGTTTGGGCATTCGATCGCCAGTGGCGGAGTTCGAATGAGGGTTTGGAAGAGATTTCATTCACGGTCGTCTCAACCTTGTGCGCTCCACGTGTCATGTTTGGCGTCCTTGCTCTGCCTGAGGGTTGTTTGATCGTGGCAGGCAGCTCACCGAGGGCCTCTTCAGAGCATGCGTGAAGAGAATTATGAGTTGTGGAGGGCGAGATACAGTGAAATTGGGGGTATGAGAGCGCGCAAGGCGTTAACATATGGAATGTTAGGAGTACGAGGGGCCGAGGAGGAGTAGAATGAGGACGATCTTCAACATAAACAAGGATTGAGGATGAGAAAAATGCGGAGGACGCATATGCTGAGGGCTGTGACTGCAGCAGATGCAAGATATCAGACGATATGGCGTAGCCGATGCCGTCGCGCCCTGACAACGCCGCCGTGCCTGCGCAGCGCCTCCCTCCCACCCGACCGTGCCAGCGCTAGAAAAGTTCATGTCGCTGGGCCCCGCGAGGGGTCCTAGGGCCTCCCAGGGCCCAATGCGTTTTACATTCTGACAGGCCTTCGGCCCCACCCGCCCGAGACCGACCGTGATGCGCTGTTTGGGGACGTCGTGGCGGATGCTCATGCATCGCTATACTGATGTGATGTGTGGGCCCTTGACAGTCTGGTAAATAAGTTCACTCTCACGCGCTCTCGAGTCTGGGTTAACGCGTGGGGCCGCTCGCTTTCAGCACTACTCGCTCCCTCTTCCAGCTCACCCCTCCTCTCTTCACCGCTCCTTCTCCTGGCCCGTCCTGATATATCAGCCTCCGCACCGCCCTCCTCCCCCTCCTCCTCCTCCTCCTCCTCCTCCTCCTCCTCCTCCTCCTCTTCTCTTCATCCTTATCCTCCTCTTCTTTCTCGTATTTCTCCTCCTCCTTATCCTCATCCTGGCATGCCTTCGGCCGACCCGCCAGCCTCCCCCTCCCTCTGGTGGGTCCAGGGCCTCTCAGGGCCCAGTTGGTTCAACCATATTCTGACAGGCCTTCGGCCCACCCGCCAGACTCCCCCTCTGCCCCTGGTGGGTCCAGCGCCTCCCAGGGCACAATGGGTTCAGCTTATTCTGGCAGACCTTCGGCACATCCGCCATGCTCCCCCCCCATATGGGCGCTCCAGAGGGCCCCCCAGTGATGCTCTGCAGAGGGCCGAGTGTCACGCCCTCCTCCTCCTCCTCCTCCTCCTCCTCTTCCTCCTCCTCCTCCTCCTCCTCCTCCTCCTCCTCTTCCTCCTCCTCCTCCGCCTCCCCCTCCTCCTCCTCCTCCTCCTCTTCCTCCTCCCACCCTCCTCATCCTCTTCCTTCCCCTCCTTCCTCCTACTCCTCTCTCCTCCCTCCTTTCCTCCGCACCCTTATCTCCCTCTACCCCTTTACTCCTCATCATGTTCCATCGCTCGCTGCTGTGGTTGGCGTGGTGTAGGATATGTGGTGCAACTGTCGTGGGCGTTAGGTCCCGCATCGAGTCACTACACGTTATTTCACGAACCACGCACGCACCCACGAACCTTGACATCTCAGAATCAGCTACAGTACAGCTGTCTGGGGGCTCGAGCTTTGCGAGGTTGCTGCAGATTGTACGCACAATCGCCCACATCGACCGCCATCGATGGCAGCACCCGTCGAGAAGCTGTCCCTCGTTGAGGGCGCGGTGTGTGTGCGGCGTTGGCTGTGGATCGAGGACATGCACACGTGGTGGCCAGGATATTTTCAGGTGGCTGGGAAGGGGGGCTTCCCGATGTTCCCGCAGGTGCAGGCCATCAAGAAAGAGTTGCTGGTGATGTGGTCCGCTCTCGGCTCTGGGATCGACAACGACGTGGGGCGCATCATCGTGAAGGGCAGCTTCCTGGACTTGGCCGACATCAAGAACAATGCCGAGCCCTCGGGCGGACATGTCTTGTCCGACGACTGGTACGTCAACGAGCGCTACTGCGTGCACATCACGATCGACTGGAAGGACAACAGTGATCGCTGCGGCGTGTCCGAGACAGGCCTCCGCGCGTGCGACTTCGCTTCGCACGGCACGCACTTCGACCAGAAGGACAAGAAAGACAAGCTCGACGGCGAGAGCTACATGACCGCGTGGAGGAAGGGCTTCAAGAGTGGTTTCCAGGAGGGGCGCCGCACTGGCTTGCGTGATGTGATCAGGAGCCAGGAGTCATCCCCGCCCACCGACGCGTCGGGTTCCTGGACGCAGGCTTGAGCACCGTGAACAGCAGGGGTGCGCTACAACTTCGGTCGGTTTTCGACCGCTTCGGTACGTTTATTCGCGGCCGCAGTTGATACGAGGCGATGGTGTGCTTCGATGCGCGCCACTGAAAATAAACGAAGCTCACACAGTTCACAAATGCAAACCCAAGTCGCATGCCCTTGAGAAGGTCGAGGAATTGAGAAATATGAAGTATGAGAAGGAGGAGGAGGCGGAGGAGGAGGAGGAGGTCACGACAGAGGAGGATATGAGCGACGCCACCAAGTGGCACACACAGAGTACCACACCCGAGCCAGGACATACTCGTTACCCTCTGGTTCATACACTTGGAGCCATGTGTGTTCAGCGTCCTGTCTTTGCCAATGCATTCTGTGTCGGCAGCTAGGTCCAGTACGGATTTCAGTCAGTAGGCGATTCCCATTGGCCGTCCGAGTGCTGCGTCGTCACCCCCTACAGGAGCCATGACACCTACCAGACAGCTACCCTACCAGACAACACTACCAGACAGCTACCCTACCAGACAGCTACCCTACCAGACAGCTACCCTACCAGACAGCTACCCTACCAGACAACTACCCTACCAGACAGCTACCCTACCAGACAGCACCCCCGCAGAAACTGATATGTCCTTTCTCGCCCTCCTCCGTATAGTTTTTTTTGGACCAAGGATGGCCCGCAAGCGCAAGCGCAGACGACGCAGCAACAGCACTAGTTCCTCGACTTCGCCCTCAGATCTCAGGCCATGGGAGCGCCGCACAGGCGGAACGGCTTTCGATGTCGAAGAGCGCAACGACAATGCAGGCAAACTTTCAGATATGTTGCTGGTTCAATTTGCATCAGGCGCACTGACGGCGAAGACAGTCTGCACGATGGCTTATCATGCGGTCAAGGGCGGGATCGATCATGCAGGCTTGTCGAGCTATGCACTTCCACCAGGACAGCAAACTGGCAAGTACTCGCAGCACCTGAAGAAACATCTTCCACTTCAATCAACCGCACCAGAGCTCAACGCACTCCAGCTGCCAATGAACATTAGGAACAGACGTGTTTCAAAGAAGGTTGTTTGCACGCCGCTGCATGAAGCGCTCGAGGCAGAACTTGACAGGCTGGAAGATCGAGGGGGTCATGTGGAACCGCCGCCGCAGAACGAGTGGTCCACTACTTTCAGACGGCGCCCCCGCAGAGTTGTTGCTGGAGATGACCGCAAGGTCTACCCCGTGGCGCTATACCTCGACGGGATCAAGTTCACGCGGAGCATTGGCCCTGGTAAAGCCGACAGCGCCATGCTTATTACTGGGTATAACCTGATGACGTACAAACGCCACGTCTTGTACGTCCTGAGCAAGCGAGAGATGTGCCGCTGCGGGTGCAGAGGATGGGACACGCTGTGGGGGTGCTTCAACCACCTTCGATGGAGTCTCAGCGCGGCTGCTGACGGCACGCGCCCTCTCGTGCGATGGGATGGCCAGCCATGGGATGCAAGTTCGATGTACGCAGCGGCAAATCTGGAGTCGACAGAGCTGAAGAACCGATACGTGGTAGTGCAGACCAAAGCAGACTTGGCCGAGCTTTGCGGGGGCCTTGGCCTCCCCACGTGGGCCAGCATCAACAACCCTTGCTTCATGTGCGGCACGTGCAAGTCGGACATGTTCGATTTCACTGGCGTTGGCCTCGACGACAACCCATGGGGGAACAAGACAGCCACCTACGACAACGTTTGCACCAGCTGCGAGCATGAGGTACGCATTGGCTCTGACAATGATCGGAGAGCAGTGCTGCACGACGGCCAGCTCCGAAACAAAAAAAACATAGGGCGTATCATCACTGTGGATGTACCACACCTCGGGCTACAACGGGGCGATCGCATGGTACCGAGCACGGGCCTGCACGACACGGCTGCGTTCGAGACGCGGAAGATACCGTTCACCGTAATGTTTTGGCGGTCCCACTACGATCACAAACATCGGAAGCTTGATTGGACAAACTGTCGGAACCCGCTGTTTGCTCCTCAATTGGGAATATCAATTGACACGCTACGGTTAGACACGATGCACACGCTTTACCTCGGCGTGTTTTCGAGATACGTTCACGCAGTCATTACTTCAGTTATCCAGGAAAACATGTACGGCATTGATGGGCGAAAAGAAGACGTTGAGGACGTCACGTGCAGGCTGCTATTCAACGATTACAAGCAGTGGTGCATCGACAACCAGGTTGACCTTTCTTACCAGCTCAACACTCTGTTGCCCACCATGGTGGGCGTTGACGGACCATTCATCAAAGCGAAGGCAGCCGAGACAGGCGTTCTGTTGAGATGGGCAGCTGGGTTTTGTTCAAGTGAGGGACACAGGCTCAACAACGGTGCGCTCCTGCGTGTTGCGGGTGATACACTCGTGGAATATATTGATAGATTGAGGGCGTCTGCATTCAAGGTGCCATGGAAGACGTGCCAGGAGTTGCTGGATTTGTGCTTGAGGCACATCTTTGTGATGACGGAGATGGGCTTCTCATTGACACCAAAGTTTCACATGTGGGTGCACATGACGTGTAATATACCACAGCATGGTAACCCAGTGTTCTACAGCACGTTTGTCGACGAAACCTTGAATTTGACAGTCGCCCGCATGTCGGCGTCTGCGCATCGTGCCACATGGGAGGAGAGCATCTTCCTGCGGTGCAGATTATTGCCTGTCTTGCAGGCTGACACTTACTTGGCATGTGTTTAGCATATCGCCTGAACAACAATAGCACGGCCTCCATCCTGTGAGCGTCCCTCTCATCCACCGTCCTCCACTCCGAATACTACGTCTTATGTCGGGGGACAACCCGTGTTCGTGCCGACAGAGCCCCAACATGATTCAATGGTGTGTCCATGCTACCCGACAGCTAACCCCGTGCCCACGATAAGAACGGCCCTCCTCCTCTCTCTCCTCCTCCTCATCTTCCTCATCCGTTTCCGTACCCCCCTCCTCCTTCTCATCCTCCTTCTCATCCTCCTCCTCCTCCTGTTGCTCCTCCTCCTCCGCCTCCTCTTCCTACTCTTCCTCATCCTCCTGTTCCTCCTACTCCTCCTCCTCCTCCTCCTCCTCCTCCTCCTCCCCCTCCCTCTTCCCTCCTTCCTCCTCCCGCCTAGGAGGAGGAGGAGGAGGAGGACGTTCGCTTCGCTTCAGCATGTCAGCGCTCCCCCACATGCTGACCTGAGCAACATTTATCACCGCGCTGAGACCCCTGAATTTTATAACCCGCCGAGGTTTAGCATCGGCAGCCCCGGGGTGCCTGAAAGCTACCCGAAAGCTACCCGAAAGCTACCCGACCGCTACCCGAACGCTACCCGAAAGCTACCCGAACGCTACCCGAAAGCTACCCGACGACCACCCGAAATCTACCCGAAAGCTACCCGAAAGCTACCCGAAAGCTACCCGAAAGCTACCCGAAAGCTACCCGAAAGCTACCCGAAAGCTACCGAGCATAGCATGGCATAAGCATATATCAGCCTGGTGGCATGCGTATGTCTTGTGTCTAGCCCCATCCAGTTCAGTAATTTTGTATATATGGGGCAACTGGGGCAAGACATGGAAAGAAGCCACGCGACGCCCGAACGGTTCCTAGCTACCAGGAAGCAATGCCTCACACCCCTGAGACGGATGGGGGGAGGGACAGGATCTGTATTTCAGGCTGGAAGTCCAGGACGGGCTGGGAGGGCATGGGAGGGGAATGGACGCGGTATATGAGAGATACGGGAGGGATCATCGGAGGAACGGGGAGCTCAGGGGAAGTGAGACGTAGAATAAGAACAGGGAGACATAGAGAGAAGGAGGGAGAGAGAAAGAAAGAGACGGACCTGGGCGGTTGTGGTGATTGATATGTTGATGTTTTTGTCGTTCGAGCGTGCGCTCGTTCTGAGAGCGCGGGGCGAATCGTTGGCTCCATAGGGCGCAACGATCGGGTTACACGCTTTTCAACAATCATGGTTCTCACTTTGGACGCCAGCTCCGACTGGCTGCATATGCAGCTCTGATCGATGGCCTCGAGGAGAGCCGAGCGTTCGTAGCCATGCTCGAGACGAGGATCGGCATTGCCCCAGATCTCGCGGGTGCTTGAACCGACCACGACCAGACGTGCACATGGCGCATCGCTTCCCGCCACTGATCCCTGGGGCACACAGAGCCGACCAAGAAGAGCTGTGACAGCACAGCTTGAGCAACCGAAGCCTGTATCGCGCTGGAGACATCATGTGGGCGCAACACGGCGTCATCAGGGCGTCCGCAGAGGACGTGGAGGCCTATGAGCGCCAGCACCAGCGGCAGCAGACCGACCGACGCCACCTGTATCGCGAGCGAGCCGAGCGAGTCGGCCTGGACATTGGTCGCAACCCGTATACAGACATCTGGTGGCAGGACGAAGACTGGGACCCCGCTGACGACGGGCTGGTATCCGACGAGACAACGCATGCTGGGGATGAAGACCTCAGTACCCAGACCAGGCTGCTCCTCGCCAGCTTGGACAGGATGTCAGCAGCCCTGGACGAGAGGGATCGCGCGGGCGTGACCCGCCGCCAACACGCAGAAGCCACGGATGGCACCGCAAACAACGACAGCACCGCGGGGAACCCATCCATCAGCAGCTCCAGGCAGCAGACAGTGCAGAAACACACCGAGACCGACGCCCAGAAGCAAGGGAACCAGCATAACGCCTCGGAGTCCGACGGGTCCGATCGGACCCGTCGGACTCCGAGGGCGAGACCAGCGGCCCCCGCATCCGCGGCATCAAGGCGGTCCAGAAGCGCACGGGCCACGGCAGCGATCTCGACTATAGGAGACCGCTATGCCACCAAAAGAATACGGATGATGATGAATATGAGGATGATGCGGCTGAGGAGGGAGGGTGGAGGAGGGTAGGGGTGGGGGGAGGGGAGGAGGAAGGAAGACGAGGAGGGTGAATGCGGAAGTGGGGGAGGGATGAGACTCGAGGGAGGTGGCAACGACTTGGCACCG